TAAAAGAAAGACATGGGAAAGATATATCTTTCACGAGTATGCAGTGGTATTTGAATTTGTTTGTCAACACAGATAAGAGTGCTTTGAGGAGATGAAATGAAAAGAATTCAAAGGAAAGAGATTATTCTTTTCTTCAGACTTACGTCTTCTGTCTGTGGTGTATCTTTCTGTCACCTTTTTCTTACCCCCTCCCCACACTCACAGTCAAAAAGACACCAAAGGTACCTGAATATTTATTCATACTCACATAGTTTCACCATAAACACATTGTGGATTTTAAACCCTGGACTTGAAACTGTGGACTTTCTAAAGAAACCCTAAATGCTTTGTTTTTCCTCAGTTTGTTACCATTCCATTTGAGACATTAGAATTTTTACTTTTTACTGTTAACTTTTTCTACAGCTGTAACAGAGCTATGTTAAGTTAAAGCTACTGCAAACTGAACATTTTCTGCTGCTTCACATTAAAACCTTGCCACCTGCAAGTCAGCTGGATGCTTTTAGTGTGAAGCAGCTTCAGGAAATGCAAAGTGTTTGTCACTGAGTTGACCAAACTCAAATGAAAGTTTATGTACACAACAAGACATGGAGATACTCTCTACTATTTGGTTACATTTACATTTATTCATTTAGCTGACGCTTTTATCCAAAGCGACTTACAATTGCTATACATGTCAGAGGTCGCACGCAACGAGGGGTTAAGTGTCCTTCTCAGGGACACATTGGTGGATTGGTCACAGTGGTTAGTGGGTCAGTTTTAAATATTGCAGGGGGTAATAATAAAAGTGGAGTCCTGTTACCGTACTGTACTGTGAACAGTTATCTACTTGCCAAGCACGGCAAGGCAAAACCATTAACAGCAATTGCACCATATGCGCCATGCCAGCACGGCTTGAGTGGTTAGTCGAAAAACATAATCATTTTCAGCCAACTTCTGGTCTAAGTATGATTTGCTCCTGCAGTAAACCATTGCGTAGTTATCAGATTAAAATGAACTTGCCTTTCTCTAACTAGATTCATCTAAAAACAACCCCTGGCAGCAAGACTCAGTTGCCCACACTAAGTACACACTGATATCCTGTTAAAGCCAAAGGTAGTACCTATTCCAGCCTATAACAATTCAAAGAATGTGTGAACTGTGAAAAAGCAAAAACAAAAAAGGAGGACATGATTTTACTGTCCCTAAAAGCACTTACAACCCTGAGTGTTTTCAAACATACAGGCCAGGATGCATGCATTTGTGTTGAATCATAGTTAAATTTACTGAATTTGTATTGCTCATCTGTCTCCTTCATCTGTTTGTATGAATAAACTCAAAAATTGTCTCCTAATTATAGCACAGTGTGCTTGAAATCATACTGCAAGCACATCTTATTACCTGCATGATTTAAAAGTCTAGTTTAAAAGCTTAGTAAAGAAACGTGAGACCCAGGCTATATTAATCTTCAAATTACTGCCTATTTGTTATGGTCATCAGTGAGGATATTGGTTTGTCAGAGCTGGAGCTTAAAAGGGAAGAGGAAAAGGAATACTCTTTCTCAGTCTCTCTTTGGACGTTGTTAATAGTCGTCATTTGTTGTTTGTGTTGTGTGTTTGGTGATGGAGTTTAGGATCAATGTCTGTGTTTGGCCTTAGTTTTACCTATAATAGATGTTGGCATGTGCTTGGAAGTTGACAGGAAAGCCTGGAGGAAAGAAAAGATCCATTATGACCTTATCAATGTTCTGCTCCATGCCCTTCTGATTGTTTGTCTTTCTGCTCTTTTCCTTTGCTGTTTGCTTATTCTTGTTTATATGCGCAAGCTACTAGCACCTGCACTAGCGGTTTCTGGTCACACATTTTCGAATGTTTGCCAATTTTTGTAATCTTCTCAATAACAAACTAAATGTCTCATCTGTATTTTTAAACCTGGACCTTATTTTCCCATGTTTTTACGTCAATGTGTATAAAATAACAATCTGAGCCTGTCGGTGGCATAAACAAGTGGATGTACGTTGACAAGGCGCAGTTGCCTGCACGTGCATCATTTTCATTTTAAAAGCATGTTATTTTGTCATAAACAACATTGCTTAGTGTGAATAAAGACGTTCTCGTATGCAGTGGGCAAACATGGAGGTGCACTTTGTAGTGAGGTGTGATAACAGTTCAGGCTCTTGGTTAACATCAACAGGCTTCAGCACCTTTGACAATGCAGTGAAAATCGTGCACATTGTTGTTCTCTTTTTACGAGCCACTGTAGCAAGCACACATATAAAGAAACAAGTGAGAATGTTAACAAGATGCTGTTATTAGCAGCAGCAGCATCTGTGCAACTCTAATTAAAGTTAAATGACCTAACATAATAGGGCAATTAGTTAACGAAAAAAGTACTTCTCCCTCCACAAACAGCCAGCTGTAGCCACAACAAGCATTTATTTTAGGATCTGTTTGTCCTAGCCAAAATTCATTCATTCACATTCATAATTTTCACTGATTGTCCCCACACTTATTGCCTGCATGATTATAGTGTAGTTAAGTGTGTGTATGTGTTTGTGGGTGGGTGCACTTGTTAAGGTTTTCATTAGATCTGCCCTAATCTGAGGCCAACAGACCCTCCTGAGGCAGAGCTAGTAAGAAGTGGCTGGATCCCTGAGGATGAACTAATGATCTGCCATAGTTTAGTTATGAAATGTGCACACTCATACACACACACACACACACGTTTATAATATTACAATTCTTTGTCAGCCCTGAAATAGTCCCTTAAAGAAGTGAGGACCAGCTCATGACTACATATCGCAAAAATGTTCTCACTCTGAAGATTTAAAACAAATTTGGTCTCACAAATAGTGAAGCTCGTTATATATATATATATATATATATATATATATATATATATATATATATATATATATATATATATATATATATATATATATATATATATATATATATATATATATATATATATAGCCCTTCCAGAACACTAGACAGATGTATTGTACATTATCAGACCGTATCATGCTTGAATGGTAAACATGAAAGTGGCTGTATTTACAGTATTTATTTCAGAACACCAATGGGAAGGTTTACCTTGTGTCATATAACTACTGAAAACATTTTATGTCATAATTAAAGCCAGATGGATACTGTGCTTTTTGAGGCCAGTAGTGATATTGATATTTGATAAAGATACATCAGCTGATTTTTAAATTTTTTTTTTACATAAACACGTGACATGAACAATGATGATAGGGATCCTTTAAATTAGTTTAGCAGGACAATTCACAGTACAAACTATGTAAAGGTTACACTGTTTCTATATGACCTCAAACCTAGTTTGGTATTTCTGTACTATACTGTTACTTTTCGAATGACATGAACACCAACACTGATATGCAATTAGCTAATATTGGCTGATATATTACCCTGGCCTCAATGCATAAGTATAAGCAATGTGGTCAAACTATCTAAAAACCTCAACTAAGTGGGTAAACAAACATATACACAAAATAACATCGTCAACAAAAAGATATTGTAAAATGGATCAATTGCTGTAAAGAAGAAATATGAAAGTAATACAGAAAGTGTCATAGTACCCCCTACACAATCATTTGTCTGCACTAAATGTGTCAATATGTTCGACTATTTGTTGGGAGCGCTTGTTTTCATTGCCCTCAGTACTTCCTCTCAGCACACTGAATAAGGCGGGTATATGGTAATGATTCCTTTATTGGATTCCCTGTGAGATTTTAATCCTCTGAATTGATAGACAAATGAACAGCATCCTGTCTGCGTTGCTCGTCTCTTGTTTAACATAACTGGAGGACCTCCACTCAAGCGGCAGTGGGCATTGTCCACGACTATCAAACACCCATTAGGCCAGGCGCCAGTTGCTTGTCAACTTTTGACATTACTCGCACCACATCCAGTCAGAGAATGAGTGACACGTTGAAAGACGGCTCATCTCCTTCTGCTCCATGAGAGATGTTTTTGTTGATCTCTCAATTGCGCCCCTTTTGTGGATGCACTTTTACCTTGTCCTCTCATACATTCACTTCCTTGCTTTCTCCTCACTCTTTTTGTTGTGGGTAGCCATTAGCCATATGGTGGCAAACAGGCAAAACAATGTGTGCAACAAAACAGAGGCTCAGGAGGGAAGCGCTTGAATTTGAAAGGGTGTAACTCTGTGAACATGTCGCGGACGAGGCGAAGGAGGAGGGCTTTGGCTCGACTGGGCGCTTGGTGTGACACGGCAGAGGGGGAAGCGGGGTGGGCATTGGCAATGTCAGGGTGTAGAGACGGACGAGGATTTGGAAGAGTCAAGTGCCGCTGAAAGGGAAGTTGTTGGTGGTCTGCAGAGTTGCAGCAGCTGCCTCTGAAAACAAACGGAAGAAATAAGAGAGACAGAGAGAAAGAAGGGGAGGCATGCGGGCTCCTCACTTGTGGGCTCCTCACTTTTTTTTTATGTCTCCTTGCTTTAATCTGTTGGGAGAAAGAGTGAGGGAGAGAGAGAGAGAGCTTGGCCGTAGCCCATGGGTGCTCAAGACCTCCCCCCACTTTACTCCGGCCAGCTTAACGAGAAGTTCAACACCCCCCTGTCCCCTCCACCGCCGCCGCCACCATCGGTCCTCCTCTCCCGCTTACTTGCTCTGTATTCAGCCTAGGTGCTGGAGTGACAACGAGCCATTCATTGTGGAGGTAGAGGGAAAAGACTGGGGATCTCTCCTGTGTTTTTTTTTTTTTTGGGTGGTGGGAGTTGGGAAAAGGGGGGAGGTGGACGGCAGAGGCAAAGGAGGGTGGGCGCATATTCCTGAAATGGTGAAATACGACAGAGAAAGGGGGCAGAAAGAGAAAGTAAAAGAGTGAGAAGAAAAAGAGAGGGAGGGGTGAGTAAAAAGTAGGAGCGCAAAGGAGGGAGGGATGGATGGAGGGGAGGCAAAGCTGGAATCACAGAAGGAAGGGAGGGTGGGGGTGGGAGGGAGGGTGTGGGGGGGGGGGGTGGCATTGGGCTACCATGCCGAATGAGCAAGAGAGGCGGAGAGGAAGCAGAGCTCCATCAGATGAAATGAGGTGAAAGTAATTCAGGCATTAATCAAGCCAGGGCAAAAGGGAGGGTATACTGTGTTTTCTCCCCCCTCTTTCGCTGCGGAACTGAAAGGCAAGGTGTGAATGAAGGAGCCTACAGTGGCCAGCAGAGAAGCACCACTGGGTCACAGCGTCAAATCATGTCCGATTCGAACACCATTGCCGCTTCCACTGCAGACCAGGTCAGTTCAAGCTGTCAAATTGTTTTTCTGTTTGTTTGTTTTTTTTCTTGCTTCAGAGGCGAGCGTGCTGATGTTTATTCTTTATTAGTTGTGCCTCACAACAGCTTAAGCAGCCGGAAACATATTGTTAGAAGACTTAGAAACAAGACTTGTAGGAATAGGAAAACTGAACGAATCCCAAGTTCCGGTCATATGTATATTATCTTTAGATCCTAATTCGGAAGTAGTTAGAGGAAGTTTCTAAGAGCAACTGAGTGAGTGTGTGTTTCTTGGACTATCAAAGCAACGATTGTTTTGCCCGGAGCTGCCTGGACAACGGTACAGGGTCCTGAAAGAATTGAATTCATCAAGACGAGCTATTGTCTACGCCGCCTTATTTTTCGGTGATCATTCAGGGGGTCTGTGACGACTCAATACCCCCCACACCACGTGAGGAGGGGGATGCAGCTCTTTAAAAACCAGACCACGTGTGGCGGCCCTGAAAAGTTTTTATAAGTAATTGCAGTGGGAAGTCCGGGCAGCACTGTGAAAGATGGGGTTGGTAAGGAAGTGGGCTGGTCCGCCGTGTGTGTGAAAGAGAGTGACAGAGTAGAAAAGCACAAGTGTCCAGAAAAGGCCGATATTTATGCCCCCCCGCCCCCAGCCCTCCTCTCACACAAGCCGCTTTAATCGCACATTCTGGCACACACATTGCTCAGCTTTCTTTTCTTTATCTTTTTTTTTTTTTTTTTTTTTTTTACCGTCAACTGACTTTGAATCACTTTGAAACAATTAAATCCTCTGATCTGTTTAAGATAAGATATACAGTTATTTCCATTATGGCAGGTAAAGAGAAAAGTGTGTGTGTGTCTTTGTCTGTGTGTGTGCATCAGACCTTGCTGCCGGCTTTTGTTGTTAGCCAAGTCCTTGTCTCCTGTTTCCGATTGCTACTGTCAAGGCTGAGTCAGCTTGCTATAGTTCTGTAGGCAAATACACACACACACACACACCTACAAGCATGGGCACAAAAGTTTTAGGTGCACACACAACGCACACGCCAACACAACAGCTGCACGAATTGCTCACAAACAAAATTCAGGGATGGATCGTGGGTGGAAGGTTGAACATATTTAGAGCTGCCTAGAGTGTGTGTGTGTGTGTGTGTGTGTGGAGTGAGAACAGTTCCCTAAAGCAAAATTCACGAAAAATTCACAACAGACAACTCTACAACAGTCCGCATGCTATTCCGCTGATTCTAGACCGCTTAGATTTGTTAACACCGTTTATCTTCCAGAGCTTTGACTGACAGGACTTCTGTAAACACTACATAATTACAAGCAGTGGTTTCATGTGCATATGGATGAAATGATCAAATACATCTCCTGTATAATTCAAATGAAATCTACCCTTCAATAGCAGTAGAGCAGCTACACACTGACATCTTGCCTCTGTTACTAGTAGTTGTTAGAAGAGTAGTACATGTTCACAGTCATTGGAGTTTATGGGCGTTCCTGTCAGAAATCAATTGCAGTTTGTAAACAGGGTCTCCAACAAAATTGTTACTCCAAACCTTATCGGTTTTGTTGGAAGTATAGAGTTTGTACATTGTTTTTTGGTTTATCTTAAATGTCATTAATGAGACATAATTATGTGGTTAAATCTTGTCTGCCTTGTATTTTTCCTCCCACAACTGGCTTCACTCCATATGGATCCTTCACTCCTTCACATACTATCAAGAGGAAAAGGCTATCTGTGCAGGCCAACATGTACACATTGTAGACTTATGTAAGTGTGTCCATGGTCATGTCAATGTAAGTCTTTCTGAATAATAATTTAAAAAAATATTCAAAACTGTACAGATCAGATCAAGTATGTAATTGATATAGATCCCACTTTCAGTTGAAAATGTATGAATAATTATACCTTGTTTATCCTTATTAAACTAAATTATTTCAAAACAGAGACATTTTGTGAATTTTATTTAGACAAGAACACAGCTTTTAGGCAAGGTGCTTTTCTACTTTGGCTAACTTTGTAAATTTGAGGCATCTCAACAGGATTTAAAAAATGAGATAATAAACATGTAGGTGCTATAACGCAAAATATGTTTAATAACAATTGGAGAAAAGAACACTGGTCTGATAACGCTATTCACAGAGCTTTAATGGATATGGATATATGTTCCATAACAGCCCTAAAAGCTATAGCCTCTAAAATGAAATAAATTTGTCAAGTGTTTTTTCATCATAGTTTTTTAATTTTTTATCTGTAATTGCTGCTGCACTGTGCCCTGATTATCAAAAATTTAATTTAAAAAACTGTGCCTTTAAATTGCTGTGCGACTTTGCCACTTTTCATTGCCTGGTTTTGTAACATTTTCAGGAGAAAGAGTCCCTGTGGTTTGGCTGATAATTGTGGGTTGACTCAGGTGTGGACCGAGCTGATAAAGCTGAGCGCTCACGAGCTCTATCTCCTCATACAAACACACACACGCAGTCCATTAAGTCAAACCAAGCCCACTGTAGGGGAGTAAATGAGTGGCCCCTCCCAAAATGGTACATCCCTACCTCAACCTGACATCTGGACAAGTTTGGCTGTTTTCCACATACCTTGTTGAAAATGGAGAGAAATAAATTTAAGGAAAATGGTGCCGCACACATTGGCAGGCTGCAGTAAAGTCCTCTGTAATGGCAGATACTGTATATTCTGTGCAGGTGAACTGTGTAAGTGCAAACGCAAGCGTAGCCAAAATGCCAACTGTCAAGCTTTTGTTAGGTTAAATTCAAAATGTACTCAATCTTTATTTTATTACTAGCTACAATTGAGCAGGCATTACAGACATACTTGAAAGTGACAAAATGATAAACAAGTTTGTGGAGGTCATGCCATTTATTGCAAAGACTGTTTAATAGCAGAAAGTGTTTTTCAAGATTTATTTGAGAAAGTTAGTTTAACTTCAGAGTTAGGAGTTGCAAGTCTAGTTATTATTTTCAGAGAAGAGTGTTTTTAGTTGATTTTTAAATTGGTCAAAAATTTTTTTGCATTTTTTTAAAGAAGCTTTTCACATATGGCTGCCTCGTAGACTCTGGATGCCATTAGCACCCCACCTCCCACTCCACCCAAGCATTTCCCTAATCTCCCATTTATAAAATCACCAATATCCTGTCTCAAAAGCAGCTTTTCTGACAGCAAAAATAAAAACAAGCCAGGCCCTGATTCAAAGCCCTGTTCCTTCGTTATCCTTGTCATTACATGGGTCACATCTTTCCTCTCAGCGGTAGACTGACCTCACGTTGTTCGGACAATAGTCTGAGGTCATGTGTGATTTCAAGGCATGCTTGACTAATAATTGCAATAATAAGGAGTTCAGATGGATCTGGTAATTGCTACGTAAGTGTTGGTGATTGGCTTTGACATCCTTTTACTGAAAGAAAGGATGAGATCGGATACCATTTCCAACAGACACGAGCAACAGTCATTGCTTTGACTTCATGTAGTTTCAGGAATTTATTCAGTATTTCATTATTGGATTTATTAAGTTGTTTTTGTGGGATCTGCACATTTCGCAATTGTCCATACACTATGAGATCATTAGGGTGGCTAGTAAACTGCTTTTTCCCCTTAGGTGATCACTGCTAGTCTGAAATAGTCATAACTCAAAGAAAACGAATCACTTTGACCAAATTATACTTTGCATATAAGCAGATATTCTGGATCATAGGGTGTCTTGCCAAGAAGCTAATGAGGACTGTATAGAAAAGTACAAATTCTTCCGCTGTAGCGGCATTCATCCAGAGTGCTGTTGCGCTCCAACACCTACCTTCTCTTTTTATGTTTCCTATGAGAATGTACATATATTTAGCCTGTTTGCCCTGCAGGCTGTCATGGTTTCAGTATTGGTTTAGCAGGGTGATGCTCCTAAAATAACCCCGGTTAGTTTAAACATTATGAACGGAGCATTAAATACGCATTATCAGAAAGTGTTATGAAACTTATCATATATCATGTTATGGTAGCTGCAAATATACAGTTAAGTACATTACATCCACACACACACACACACACACACACACACACACACACACACACAAACTCTGCCCATCTGGGGGCAGGTGTTGCAGTTTATGGAGCGGAAGTGCAAAGTAGCTGTGTTTACTCACTGCACCAAGGCTTAGCAAGCAAGGGAACAGACACATGTGGAAAAGAGAGACAGAAATAGATATAGAGAGTATATGTATGTTTGTGTGTGTTTGTGTATGTGTGTCCCTTGTCCATCTCCCTGTGGTGCCTCCAACCTTCATTCTCCCTCTGACTTCACTAAGTTAAGCTTCCGGGCTCACAGCTGCCTTGCAGAAGCACACAGTCATACAACACACAGCAAACTGACTATACATGCATGGTTGAGTGAATGGATAGTTGCAAGCTTGACTGATAAGTTAGAAGAATTAATGAGGGCTAATGGCTGGCTAGAGAGGTGGACTAATAGCTGACCAGCTGCCTGGCTTGCTGAGAGGAGAGCAGGCTAGCCAATGGGAGGACTGAAGGACTGGAGGGAAATGCTACTGACTTCCTGGGTGCATAAATGGACATGGATATGCAAGTCAAAATGTTTGATGGGCGAAAAAATGAAGGAGCTATTTACATTTATCTGACGCTTTTATCCAAAGCGACTTACAATTGCTATACATGTCAGAGGTCGCATGCCTCTGGAGCAACGAGGGGTTAAGTGTCTTGCTCAGGGACACAATGGTGGATGTCTCACAGTGGGAATCAAACCCAGGTCTCCCACACCAAAGGCAAGCATCTTGTCTATGCGCCATCACCACCCTATTTGTAGCATTTGTAAAAATAAATGAAGTTAGGGTGAGGGGTTAGGGGTCAGGGGGTTAGTTAGGAGGAGCCACTATTTATGGAAGCATTTGAAAGTTTTCTTTTATTTATATATATATATATCCTTGAGGTTCCTCAACATAGAAACACATTTGCCTCATGGACAATTTAATGATGTTAGGTTTATGTAT